GCTTTATATTTCCATGCTTTTTCACATTTGGGTATGCATTATTACTTTTATCTGGATTTCAAATCAAAATTTTTTTATTCTTATATACGATGCTTTCTTTGTTTTCCATTAAAAAGATAAATTTGAGACCGCAGGAAGAAGAGTTGCCAAATTTGCGGAAGTTATGCAATCGGTGTGGGACATGGAACATGATTATGAGAGACGTGTCAAACAGGTGATACATTATTTTATTTTCATTTAAAGAAAAATCAGATAATTTATATAATTTATTAAAATCTTATGTTTATTAAATGTTGATTATAATTAGTTAATGCAAAGTATTATAGATAGAAAGAATGTTTGGGCCAATTCTAAATTTGATGGAAGTTATTCTGATGCCAAACGTCGGTCTGTTGAATTTAATCAATACAAAAGTAGTGAAAAACGCATTTGGGTATCCGAGAAAAGTGATATAGATACCTTACTCGGTAATATTCAAACTAAACTCAAAACCTATGAATTACAACCATACCATCCGCCTACTGGACTGACACTAAATGATTTGGATAAGGCTTGGCAAAGCTTGATAGAAGCTGAAGCTAAACGATACAAAGCTATTAATGATAAAATCAGAGAGTAAGTTTATTGTTTTGTCTACTGTAGTTACAATAAGCACATAATCACATAATCACATAATTTAAACTGTACTATAAATTTATAAAACAATTTTTTTTTGACATTGATAGAATCAAGGAAAGTTTACGCAAGACATTTGCTCAGTCAGCGAATGATTTTCAGAAAAGCTTGGATTCAATATCTCACTCGTTGACTGAATTAGATGGTAAATTAGATGTACGTACATAATCACTTCATTTATTTATTTTATTCAATATTTAATTAATTCTGTCGATTTACATAGGCTCAATTAGTGAAAGTTAAAAGTCTTTCAGCCAAGTTAGGTCCTTTGGAAAATTCTCTTAGACACATTGAGGAGCTTGATGCACAATGTCGAGAAGCTAATGTTGAAGAAAACGATTATACAGTTTTCTCTATTGACGATTTAAAATTCGAATTGGGCCTTGTACAGCAAGCGATCACTAAGAAATCTTCTTTCATTGAAAATCAAGTAATTTTTTCGATATTTTTATCTTTGCATATTATTTATATTATTTATATTTAACGGAATTATTTACAATGCATAATAGATGGTAGCAAGGAATATGACAAATCTTACACCAGCTCAATTAGAAGAATTTGAAAGTACATTCCGTCATTTTGATACCGATTCGTCGAATACATTAAATCCATACGAATTCAAGGCTGCTCTGGCTAGTTTAGGAATAGTTTATGATGTAGGCAATACTGTTTATTTATTAAATCAATGTAAAAATACAAAGTTGTAAATACTTTTATTTATGTTATAGGATGCGGAGTTGAATTCAGTGTTTGACCAAATGTGTGAAGGACAATCTGAAGCTTCTTTTGAACAGGTAAGATTAACAATGATATATATATTGAAACGCATTGACATAATATATATGTGTAAATTTTTTCTATGTTCCTTTATGAACATTATGAAGATAATTTTCTCAAATTTTATTAAAAAAAATTTCTTTTTTTTTAATTATTATAGTTTATCCGTTATATGGTTAATGTTACAGAAGATAAGACTTCCCTGACCAACTTCGACAATCATTCAAAATTGTAGCTGGAGATAAACCTTTCGTAACAGAACTTGATCTAAGAAGATCATTATTACCAGAAAATGTTGTATCTTATCTACAAGAAGCTATGCCACAACGGGAAAGTGGATATGACTATTCTAGATATTTAGATCAAGTATTTCAGGAATAAATTTATCTATTTAATGTCTTTATTTAATATATACGTACCTTTTTTTTTTTTTTTAATTTATTATGGAAAATTTAAGTTTAATTTTGATATCAGATTGATTTAATTTTCAGATAATTTCATGAATCCTGTTTATTAATGAGTATTTATTTTCAATTGGTATTCAATATTCTGAAATGTAAAAAACAAATAAATTATGTTATTTTGACCTCAAAAGCCTAAATATTATGATTATTTAGAAAACTTGTTTATAATTGGACCATTTGTATCCCGAGTTGAGTTTCTCAAAAGCTCGTAGAGCATTTGAGATCAATTTGATTTAAATAATAATTTACTATAAGAACCGTAGCATTACTAAGAACCTAACAGTATTGTTTTTAATATCGGTATATTTATGAAAATTTACATCTTAAAATCTTTCGATTTTTTTTTGATGATTTTTGAACGTCATTATAAATTAAATATACAAAAGTTGGAAGGTGATTCACAATCACCTAGACGCATTGTTCGTTCGTTATTATACTATCAAATAAAAGATTAATGGTTTCTGATGATCAATTAAAATTAACAATAAAAAATTAAATTACAATTTAGGCTGATTCAAAAAAAATTACGTTTCTTCTACAAATTTACCTCGAAAAAAATTTTATAAAAATATTAATGTTGTAAATGGAAACGGAATTTAAGTGGATTCTGAATGAAAAATAACGTCGTTTCAGAATCAACAGCCATTTTTTCTCAGTCTATCCGATACTTAATATAAAAATTATCACTTTACATTGTTATACTGTGTAATTGATTCGTGAATAAAGGTTTTATAATACAAAATTATCACATTGCA